CTTCTATTTGGTCCATTCTAACTTTCAGGGAGTTTGTTGCTTGGACAAGGTTTTGAATCTCTCGTGTCAAGCTGTTAATTCCCTTCCCAATTCTTTTTTCCATAGCATTCATTTCTATTCCAATTTTTCTTCAAGCACTCTTATTCCATTTATAAAATAACATTTTAAACTCCTTTTTAAACTTTTCTTTCATCTCTTCCAGAAATTCTCATTGAATTTTTGCCCAAGCTATGTTTTTCTCTGAGGCTCTGCTTATATATGTTTTGGAATCTGGGTTCATTTTTTGAGCTTTCCTGACACCAAAGTAGCTCCTTATGGTGAGATTCTTTTTTTGTTTGCTCATTCTTCCAGCTTATTTCCTTACTTTGAACTTCATGTTAGAGTTGGCCTCTGTGGCACTTCTGGAGGTTAGATCTGAGCTTGTCCTTTTGCAGCTTTCTTAGGGTAGCGGTGCGTTGTTCTAGGATCTCAGAGACAGGAGCTGCTAGCTTTCAGTGTTCTCAAAGTGATCTGATCCTGTGCCAAGTCTGATGGCTGCTTCCTTGGTCTAAGCTCCGCAAGTTCTTGAGCTGGGTTTGAGTCTGTGCAAAAGCAGACTGCTGCTGGACTCTGCCTCCATCAATCAACCAGAAAGTTTTGTTGGTTCAAGTAGTAGAACTGTAGGTTCCTCTTTGGTCTGAGATTTTTGCCTTAGTTTTTTATCTGCTGGTTGGGCTAGATGGTGGAAATAAGACCCTATTTTGAGTCTAGGGTCTGAGCCACACTCCTACTGGCTTCTGAGGTTCCTCCTTTCTTAATATACCACCCAGAGCCTACTTACCTAGCAATGGCAAGCCCATGATTAAGTTCCCTTCTCAAAGGAAAATGATAAATGTTGGAGAAGACATGAGAAAACTGGAACACTGATGCACTGCTGGTGGAGTCGTGAACTGATTCAACCATTCTGGAGAGCAATGTGGAACTATGCCCAAAGGGCAACCAAACTGTAAATCATACTCTTTGATCTGGCAATATCACTACTAGGTCTTTATCCCAAAAATATCATAGAAAATGAAACAAAAATATTTATAGCAGCCCTTTTTGTGGTGGCAAAATTTTGGACATTGAGGGAATGCTCATCAATTGGGAAATGGCTGAACAAGCTATGGTATATGAATATAATGGAATACTACTGTGCAATAAGAAATGATGATCAGGCAGATTTCAGAAAAAACTCTGCCATCTTGGCTCTGTCCCTACACAAGTCTGTGCGTGTGTGTGCGTGTGTGTGTGTGTGTTCACCTGAAGCAAAATAGATTCTTCCTCTGCTTCTTATTTTAACTCTGAAAATATTTAAGTTTCAAGTGTGTTTTTTTGTAAACAACATACTGGAGGATTCTGCTTTTAAACCATTCTTCTATCCTCTTCTGCTTTATAAGTAGGTTCATACCATTCACATTCATAGTTATGATTATTAATTGCATATTTTCCTGGAAGTTTTCATTGTGGGATCGAGGTGATTGGTGGATTCTTTCAATTATTTATTTTACCCTTTGGTTCTAAGATATCAGGGCAGTTTTCTTTGATAATTTCTTGAAAGATGCTATCCAGGCTTTTTTGATCATGGCTTTCAGGAAGCCCAATAATTCTTAAATTATTTCTCCTATATCTATTTTCCCGGTCAGTTGTTTTTCTAATGAGATATTTTACATTTTCTTCTATTTTTTGATTCTTTTGATTTTGTTTGATTGATTCTTGCTATCTCACAGAATCATTACTTCTATTTGCTCAATTCTAATTTTTAAGGAATTATTTTCTTCAGTTGGCTTTTGTACCTCCTTTTCCATTTGGCCAATTCTACTTTTTTAAGGAGTTCTTTTCTTCAGTGAATTTTTGCACATCTTTTTCCATTTTTTGTGCTTCCTTTACCCAGCTCGACTCTTTTTTCATAATTCTCTTGCATAACTCTCATTTCTTTTCCAAGTTTTTCTTATTCCTCATTTATTTGATTTTTAAAATCTCTTTTGAGTTCTTCCAGGAGAATTTTTTGGGCCTGAGACCAATTCATACTCCTCTTTGAGGCTTCATATGTAAGCATTTTGACACTGTTTCTTCTTCTGAGATTCAGTTTTTGCTGTTGTTGTTGTTGTTGTTGTTGTTTTTGGTGAGGCAATAGGGTTAAGTGATTTGCCCAGGTTCATACAGCTAACGTATATCATGTGTCTGAGGCTAGATTTGAACTCAGGTCCTCCTGACTCCATGGCTGGTGCTCTATCTGCTGTGCCATCTAGCTGCTCCTGAGTTTGTGTTTTGATCTTCCCTGTTGCCATAATAGCTTTCTCTGCTTAGGGTTTTTAAAAAATTTTTCTTGTTTTTTAGTTTATTTCATGACTTTTAGAGCTGAGTTCTGCTCTTAGGACACTGTCCCAAGCTTCTTGCACCAGCAGCTAGGGGGTCGGTCACTGGCTTTCTGTGCCATGGACTCCGGGACTGGCAGCTAGTCTGTTATACTGGGATCTCCTAGCCTAGTCTTGCAGGTTGTGTTGGGGCCTCTGGGTCTGCTAGGCAGCACAAGCCTGCTATACTGTGGCTGGAGGCTTCACAGTTGGCCCACTGTGCCACTGGCCTGCTGAGCTAGGACCGTGGGGCCTCAGCTGCTGATTGGTGCTGGGGCTAGAGGCCTCCTGCTGGCTTACTCCAACAGTGCTTGTACTGGGCTGTGCTCCCCTTTTACCCAAGTGAGACAGACCTTTCCTATAGTCCTTCCAAGTTATCTTGGGCTGGAAAATTGTTTTACCCTCTCCTTTTGTGGGTTCTGTTACTCCAGAATTCGTTTTGAGGTATGATTTAAAGTTGTTTCAAGGGAAATTGGAAAGAGCTTAGGTAACTTCCTGCCTTGTCTCTGCTACCTTGCCTCTGCCTCATGCATATTTTCCTCCATTCTATTTGCTTATACTCTTTTTTCTTTCTGCTCCACTTTTCTTTCTTCTTCATTTAGTACAATAATTTAAGTGATTATAATTAATGAAATCTGAATTCACTTACATAGAAAAAATAGAAGCTAATATTGTGTTTTTCAAAATAAGCTGATTTCTGATTTTATAAGCTTCATATCAGAATTGTTGAAGTGATAAATTAGATCTTGAAGGTTTTACAAAAATAATACAATTAAGGCTTAACACTGTTTAAATACAAAATACTTACAATTTCATCAATATGGATGCTCCCTCTAACAACACAGATTGCAACCCCTCCATACCTTAGTACAATTTTAATAGTAGCTCTGTTCCCCCCACATTCCAAATATTTATTGCATGGCGAACAACTTTCTGGTAATGAATCTCTTTAAATTCCATAGCACATAGGTAGGACCAGCCCTGAAGTCTTTCTGGGTTAATAAGCCTTGTCAGAACTCATAATGTATTAGCATAGCCTTCAAGAGACAAGGTTACCTCCATGCTATGATTTTCAAGAACCAAGGCTACTCTCATGCTATGATAAGATATCAGTGGAGACAATTTAAATAATATAATAACTAGAAGTAATCTCTTCCCAATTTTCTTTCATAACACTTCGTATTTCTCTAATGCATTCTATTACATTCTAATTTACAATACATTTATATGGGTACATGTCTTATCTTTACTACTAGATGGTAAGTTCCTTGAAAGCAAGGGCCATGACTTATTTACATTTACATTTCCTAAGGGTCTAGTATGTATGATAGGAACTTAATAAATGTCTTCTGAATGGAAGAATAAAAGATGATGGGCAATGGCATCAGGGGACACACTATTGCTTATTCAGCCCATTGTTCTGTTTCTGAAAGTGGCACCAAATATTTTGTGACACTGGGGTTGCTACATGCCATGAAATATATCCAAACATTTCTAATTGTTCTTAAAAGCTTATAATAAATCATTGATTAATTTAACTAAATCATTCTTGGATTTATGTTTTCAGGTTGTATAGCCTCTCAGGATAGAAATTTTCTACAATTTTATAGTTTTAATGAAAAGCTAAATAATACCATCTCTTTATTATCCTACTTTCATATTATATAAAACAAAATGTTAATTTATTTTGATATTATACTGTAGCTTCTTGAATTATAATGCAACTCATTTGTGTTTATTCATATCATAATATAAAGCTGCTCACCAAATATTTTTGCAAATAAAAGGCATATTTTAATTCTAATGTATGAGCCCAAAATTCAAAATGAACAAAGAATAGTACTAATACATTTAAAACATACTAGCAAATGAATCTGCTGAAGAATAAGCAGCAAACAAAAGGGTAAAAAGAAACTATGATAGCTTGAGAGATATCTCTAGATAGATATATGACATATTCAAATAAATTAAGAAATAACTTGTAGGGCTATGAGAATTAAAAGTTTAAATAAAAGAAAAGGCAAAAATAAGTAAGAACATGTCCACAAAAAGGTGAGAAGAATGGCAAGGGGACTAGAGAACATCCCATACACTGACTGATTAAAGGAGACTGGAAAGAAGAAGACTTAGGGGTGATTTGATAGCTATCTTCAAATAACTGAAGGGCTGTCAAATGGAAAAGGAATTAGATATGTTCTGTTTGTCCCCAGAGGGCAGAACTAGGAACAAGAGGTAGATGGTGTAGACAGAAAGATTTAGGCTCAAAGTAAAGAAAAGCTTGGTGTAGACAGAAAGATTTAGGCTCAAAGTAAAGAAAAGCTTCTAATAATTAGAGCTGTACCAAAGTGAAACAAGTTGTCTCTGGAATCAGTGGATTCCCCTCAATACTTTGAGCAAACCTGAATGGCCAATTCTTTAGGATGTTGTAGAAGAGACTTTTGGTCGGCCACAAGTTGAGGTTCCTTTTATCTTTTAGATTCTGTGATTTTTCAGAAATCTAATCATCTGTGTATTTTGAATAATTAATCCACTGGTATTCCCAAATTCAACAATGTGATAGCAGCAAGATATCAATTCAATATACTTAATTACTTGAACAAGTTTATTACATTGAAAGAAACTCACCAAAATGACTCCCAAGCTCCACAGATCACAAGATTCATCATAGCCATTATGATTTAAGAGCTCTGGAGCAGCATAATGAAGGGTAAAGCACGGTGTTTTAAGAGGCTGATTATCAGGTGGCTTTAAACGTGCAAATCCAAAATCAATTACCTTAATTTCCAAATTATCATTTTCATCAGTGAACAATAAATTCTGTAAAATATAAACATTAAAGTTAGATTAATGATTAACATTCCATAATAACAGTTGCCTTTATGCAATGCTTTTAAGTTTATCAAATATTTTACATATATCATCTCATCTGCTTTTCACAACAACCCTATGAGGTATGTACTACAGATATTATTACCCTTATCTTACTGATGAGGAAACTGAAAATCATCATGTATCATATAGCTGGTAATCTCCACTTACTCTAAGGTTACCCTTCTTTCCACTATACCATACTTCCTTCCCAGTAGAAAAGATCCTTGAATATATGCTATTTATAACTATAATTTAGAGAAGTAGCATAGTATAGTAGCTTATGAACAGAAGGATGTTGGATTAGGTGGATTCTACTTCTAACTTCATGAAAAATATCAAACCATTGACAACGGGCAAAACACATGATTTTTCTGTGCTCAATCTTATCATCTGGCAAACAGGGATAATACATATTTCCATCTCTAAAGACAATTATCATAAAGATTAAGAAATAACTGAACTGTGCTTTTAGATCACTAAGTGAAGTATAACACACTTGTAAGATATTTCTGATTGTTTAGAATTCAGTAGTATAGAAGCTCAGCTCTACTTAGCAGCATATGTGGTATATATTTCACATAGACTAAAGAAAACTTACATAAATAAGTCTCATGTGCTATTCTGCACAGAATGCCCAATAGGCTACATTAAAAATGCTACTGAACAGATTGGTAGTACTGTATAAAAATATACTTCTGCTAGAATTTACTATAAATATTGGTGCATTGGCAAACAGACCAAATTTAGGGAACAATCTTCAACTCTACCAAATTATATCAGAGTTCAAGTTCCCTGATTTATGTAACAAACAAATTCCTAGTAAAGTATCAGAATTAAATTGCTGTCAAGAGTTTTGCATGTTATGTTGTATTGTCCAGGGAAAGAGAACTTGATTAGGAGTCAGGAATCCTGGGTCCCAGTTCTCATTTTGTCACCTATGGAACTCTGACCAGTCTCTCGCTGAATCTCACCATTAAAATGATGAAATAAGACTAGCTGATATCTAACATTCTTTCCAACTATACATTTAATGTGTTTCTTTATCTTCAGATTCTGGCAATTAGAGAAAGATATATCTTTATAGTATCTTCAGTTGGCAATCTGTGTTTTTGAAATTTTTTTAAAATGAGGAAAATGTATTGCCATTTGAATATAGTCATTTTTTATTTTACATTGATTCTATGTGACTGGCAAGTAGAAATACGTTGTTACATTCAAAAGAAAAGAAATGCTATGTTAATATTTTAATTATGGCTTATTTTAAATAAAATAACCCTTTATTGATATTTTGCTTTTTACATTTACATTTTACATAGTTTTCCTTAATACTCCTCCCCTTCCCAGAGAGCCATCCCATTTAAAAATAGTATTTTCTTATGACAAAAAGAAAAAGACAAAAAAAACCCAGTACAATCGATCAATACATTGAAAAAGTCTGAAAACACATACAATATTCAATGCTTGTAGACCTCTCACCTCCACAAAGGGGTGTGTTAAGAATGTATTGTCATGTATCTTCATTCAAGCCACGCTTGTTCTTTATAATTTTGCAACATTCTCCTTTGATTTTGTGTGTGTGGCTGCTCTTAACATTTACACTGTTGTATTCATTGTGTGTACATATTCTGCCTCTGCTTACTTCATGCAGATAGTTCCATACCTCTCTGTATTCATCACATTCATCATTTCTTATAGCACAAAAATATTCCATTACATTCATTTACCACACTGTGTTTACTCACTCCCCAATCAATGGACACCTACTTTGTTTCCAATCTTTTGCTATTGCAGAATACTGCTGTAAGTACTTTGGTGTATATGGGAATTTCCTTCCTTTCAATGACTTCCTTGGGGTATGTGCCCCAAAATGGAATTTCTGGGTCAAAGAATATGGACATTTCAATTGTTTTACTTGCATATCTCCAAACTGCTTTTCAAAATGCTTGTATCAATACTTGTATCAATTGGGGGAACTATTGATAGTTCCACAACTTCTCAAATATTGACTTTTGCCATCTTTTCTGATTGGCAGGGTTAAAGGTGAAATCTCAAAAAGGGTTGTTTTGATTTGCATTTCTCTTATTATTAGTGATTTGGAGCATTCTTTCATGTAGTTGTGAATATTATGTAATTCTTTTGAGAACTACTGGTTCATATCCCTTGATTACTAGAGAATGGCTATTATTATAAATATGTACATACACATACAAATAAAATATTCACATATATTTATATATGTAACATGAAACATAATGTTAATTGGTTATACATCTTGGGGTAAATTATCTCACATAAAAGGGGAAAGAACAAGCTTTTACAGGGGCAGTTAGGTGTTGCAGTGGATAGCGCTCTACCTTGGAGTCAAGAGGGCCTGAATTCAAATGTGGCCTCAGAAACTTGACACTTACTAGCTGTACAACCCTGGGCAAGTCACTTAACACCGAATGCCTCACCAAAAAAAAAAGAAAAAAAAGAAAAAAGCTTTTACAGTGGAGGGGAAGAGGGGGGAAGTGAGAGGGAATGAGTGAATCTTACTCTCATTGGATTTGGCTTAAGGAGGGAGTAACATACACACTCAATTGGGTATGGAAATCTATCTTACCCTACAGGAAAATAGGAAGGAAGGGGATAAGAGAGGGGGGATGATAGAAGAGAGGGCAGAATTGGGGAGGGGGTAATCAGAAGCAAACACTGGAGAGACAGGCTCAAATGAGAGAATAGAATAAACGAGGGGCAGGATAGGATGGAGGGAAATACAGTTAGTTTTTCATAACATGAGTATTACGCAAGTGTTTTGCCTGACTATACATGTATAACCCGTATCGACTTGCTTGCCTTCTCAATGAGGGAAGGTAGGGAAGGAAGAAGGGAGAGAAGTGGGAACTCAAAGTTTTAAAAATGAATGTTAAAAATTGTTTTTACATGCAATTGGGAAATAAGATATACAAGCAAAGGGATACAGAAATCTATCCTGCCCTACAGGAAAATAGAAGGGGAAGGAGATAAGAGAAGGGGGGGTGATAGAAGGGAAGGCAGATTGGGGGAAGGGGTATTCAAAATGCACACTGTCTTGGGGCGGTGGTGGGGAGAGATTGGGAGAAAATTTGGAACTCAAAATCTTGTGGAAGTGAATGTTGAAAAGTAAAAATAAATAAATTAATAAAAATACAACTAAAAAAAAGTTTTGCTTCTGTCTTTGACCTATTGCAATTCACTCTCCCTTCTATCACTGCCCCCTCCTCTTATATCCTTGCTTTCCTACCTTCCTGTAGGGTTAGATAGATTTCTATAACTAAGTATATATGTAATTCCCTCTTTGAGTCAATTATGATGAAAGTAAGGCTCATGCACTTCCACCCCCTAAGTTCCCCATCTTACTCTACACTGTAAAATCTCTTTCGTGTCTCTTTTATGTCAGATAATTTACCCCAATCTCCTTCTCTCTTTCCTCTTCTCCCAGTGCATTCCTTTTTCTCACCCCTTAATTTTATTTTTTAGATAATAATCACATCATATTTCATTCACAGGCCAACTGTCTATATATACTCCTTCTAAATGCTCTAGTAATGAGAAAGTTTTTAGGCATTATAAATATTTTCCCATGTAGGAATGTAAATTGTTTAACCTTATTGAAACCCTTATGATTTCTCTTTCCTTCTCTTGAGTTCTGTATCTGAAACTCAAAATTTCTCTTTATCATTGGTCCTTTCAACAGGTATGCTTGAAAGTCTTCTATTTCATTGAATACCCATTTTTCCCCGATTGATTATACTCAGTTTTGGTGGGTAGGTGATTCTTGGTTGTAATCCTAGCTCCTTTGCCTTTTAGAATATCATATTCTAAGCCCTCAGATCCTTTAATGTAGAAATGGCTAAATCTTGTGTTATTCTGACTGCAGCTCAACAATATTTGAATTCTTTCTTTTTAGTTGCTCACAGTAATTTCTCCTTGACCTGGGAGTTCTAGAATTTGGCTATAACATTCCTGGCAGTTTTGGGATCTCTTTCAGGAGGTGATCGGTGGATTTCTTCAACTTCTATTTTTTACCCTTTGGCTCTAGAACATCAGGGCAATTTTCTTTGATAACTTCTTCAAAAATGATGTCTAGGCTCTTTTTTTTATCGTGGCTTCTGGTAGTCTATTATTTCACTCAAAAATTTTTGTTTTATTGTTTCTTGATTATGGTTTTTTAAATTCTGTTTTCTTGATAAAGTCATTAGCCCTCATTTATCCAATTTTAATTTTTAAAAAATTGTTTTTTTTTTCAGTGAGCTTCTTTATCACCTTTGCCATTAGGCCAAGTTTACTTTTTAAATTCTTTTCTTCAGTGAATTTTTGTACCTCTTTTTTCCATTTGGGCAATTCTGCTTTTCAAGGCATTCTTCTCCTCACTGGAATTTTGGATGTCTTTTACCATTTGGCCTATTCTTTTTTTAAAACTGTTATTTTCTTCAGTATTTTTTTGTGCCTCCTTTACCAAGCTGTTGACTCTTTTTAAAAATTTTCTTGCATCTCTCTCATTTCTCTTCCCAATTTTCCCTCTACCTCTCTTACTAAATTTTAAAAATCTTTTTTGAGTTCCTCCATGTCCTGAGACAAATTAATATTTTTCTTTGAGGCTTTGGATGTAGCAGTTTTGACTCTGATGTCTTCTTCTGAGTGTGTTTTGATCTTCCTTGTCACCATAAGTAATTTTCTATAATCAGATTTTTTCCTATTGTTTGCTCATTTTTCAGCCTATTTCTTGACTTTTAACTCTGTACTAAAGTGGGGCTCTGCTTCTGGGGTAGAGGGCTCACTTTCCCAGGCTTCAAGGTTTCTGTGCTGCTAGCTTCAGAGCTAGTTCTGGGGGGAGTGTGGTCTGTAAGCTTTCAATTCTTCCAAGGTAGTATGATCTAAGGAGAAGTGTTTTTACTACTCTCCTGGCCTTTGCTCTGGTCTGAGTG